CCCCCCCCCACCATCCCCGGTACTAGATCCGTCTAAGTCCGTCTACCCTTAGCGGGAGCCTGGCACAAGTATTATAGAACACAAGCGGGGCTTGCATTCCATCTAGCTCCGCGTGTGTGGGTTGTAAGCGAATATTGGAGGCTTTTTGCAGCTTTCCTACCTCCAGATTCCCGCCGCTCTTCCCTTATGGTAGAATTTACGGTGATGTAATGGTAATTTTGCTTTATATTAGACCCACAGCCAAGCAAGCTGTTGCGGAAGGATTTCAATTGAGAAACTCGGTTCATAGCGACGGTTCTTGTTATTTCATCCTCAATTGTTCCACAAGAATTGCTGGCAGATTGATTGCAGTGATGAAAAGGTCTTTTCTTCCATTGCAACTCAAGGCTCGTACTACCTCGTTAATAGAGTGGACTGAGTAGCGAACTCCCTAGGCATTATCTCAAAAGGGCGTGTATGATCAAGCACCAGGGGCCGTTTACCTGGGTGCAGTGGTGCAAGATCGGAGCCTGGTAATCAAATCAACCAGCCTATATGCGGCCAGACCAATTATTCTAAGCTCGTGAAGTGTAATGCAGTTTCCCCTTCACCTTTCCCATCTATTAGTGATCTGCGCATCTCGGCATGTGAGCTGTCTCTCCTGTTTTACTATCCCTTCACATTCGTGAATATTCGAGACGGCAACCCAAGTGGGTAAATATAGTTAGATCTTTGATTGAATGATATACTAAGTTTCACAGACAGAGCATTCAGTTATAGGGAAGGGGGCGAATGGGACAGCACCGCTATCCATCGAGATTTCTTTCTATTTAATGGTTTATTACCCTGCTTAATGTGACTTCGGGGTAATACAGAGTACTGTAGCAGTATATCTTCGGTTTGTGTTACACGTATGATTATTATTGAGCCGAATTTGAATCGTAGATCATGTACTCCCATGACATACTTATCAGGCCAGTGGGCCTACTTATGGAGTGGCGATTATTCAGACGCAAGGAGTGCCTCTAATACTAGTAGTCAGGGAAAGGGAGCTTTAACCTTTCATGTATCAAGTATTAATGTAATCAGGCAACAAAGCAGCGCAACAACAAGCCAGCACAGTAATCCCTAATCCCTAATGCTTCAAATAAGCCACTATTCTGCCTTCTATATTGCAACAATCACTTCAAATTAAAGCAATCCTGTAGGGAAATCGTCACAACGGGACAACGGTCATAATATGTGATAAATTTCTAAGTAATATTATTTTAATGAAGCTTTATATAAAAAAATACAGTAATATGATTTATATTCCTTTATTCAAATGTTCTGTGGAGTTATAAATATTTAAAAATAATAATATATACTTCTGAATTTAGTTAATATACATGACAGAAATTTAATTAGATTAGTATATATAACGGAAATTTAAATTAGATTAATATTTTTTCCATAGATACTAAGCCTAATTAATTCTATTAAATATTATTAAAAATAAATGTTACAGTATTAAGTACTATTTTAATATATATTATACTTATAAGTACTACTCTAATAAGTATTATATAAATGAATATATTGAGATATAAAACCCTAATAGAATAGATAGCAGAGTCCTTATAATATTGAAAACTTTTATATTATAAAAATTCTTTATTATTTTAATATATTGTATTTTCTCGCTTCTCTATACAGCAGAGGTTATAAAAGAAAAAGAAAGAAGAATAATTCTATTATTATTTAAATCCCTATGATTTCTGCAGGAAATAGATAGTAAAACAGATTATAAAATTTTTATAATACTGAAAGTTTTTCTTTTATCTTTATAATCCTATAGAAAATAAATAATAAAATAGGTAGCACTGTAGCAGAGACTCTGTAGTACTAGAAATTCGTATATTATAAAGATTCTTTATTTTTTTAGTATACTTTATCAGCTTATTTCTTTGTGTAGCTGGTAAGATAAGATATAATAAAAATTATAAAAAAGAAGAAGAAAAATAATTTTATTATTATTTAAATCTCTATAATTTTTATAGGAAATAAATAATAGAGTAGGTTACAGAGTTTTTATAGTATTAAGAGACCTTTTTCTACTTTTATGATTCTATAAGAAATAGATAGTAGAATAGATAGTAGAGTCTTTATAATATTAGGAATTCTTATTATACAGGAATTCTCTGTTTTCTTGATATATTTTATTCTTTTATCTTTTAGAAAAAAAATAATTCTATTATTACTTAAATATTCATGATTTTTATAGAGAATAAATAGTAAAGCAGGTTATAGTATTCTTATAATACTAAGAGATTTCTCTTATATTACAGAGACTCTTTATTTTCTTAGTATACCTTGTCAGCTTAATTTCTTTATATACCTTCTGAGGTATATCCAAGTTAGACCCAATCAATGCGCAGGATCCGCATACCCTGGGTATACAGCTCCGTGGTAGGCAAGATAGTAGATGATACATTGGAAAACTAACAGCGGCTCGTGTATCTGAAAGCTCTTTACTACAAAAGTTTCTTTTCCCTGAGAAATTGATCGTCTTAATCAGGAATTGGTTTCCAAGAGAACACTATTCCAGCGGGTCCTCTGCCAAGTATTTAGAGTGATTTTTCCAGAAGAAATGGTAAAATGGGTAATACATGCTTGAGCTTACTTTTAACATCATTAAGTTTCTTCCCAAAGCGACAACCCAAAAGCCAGGAATGTTGATGGTGCGAATTTTGGTAGTGGTCAGAGTTAAAACTGTACTGTGTACCGAAAAGATGACCAATCCAGTCCTCATTTTCGTTGATAAATATTTCGTCTGACCCATACTCGGAATCTTCGCTCAGAACACCGAGTCGTGCCACAAAGTCTCGCCGGTTAGCGAAATGTTCGGTTCGGAGGACATGTGAGCTAAGGTTCGTCCCATCAGTATCAGCAATAATAGGATATTTACCCTGGGTTTTCCAGTGCAGGCTCGGATTTCCAAAGGTGAAAACGCAAAGTTGTCCTTGTAGTTTGCCCCTAATGGTGGAGTTCTTTGTTGCAGCAGTGATCAAGTCTTCCAGAACACAACGGAGGAGAAGACACCCTTGAGAATGAGCGATTATGATAACATGTTGTGTCGCAGGAGCTTCTTCCAGTGCCTTTAGGAGCTCCGTGTGGAGGACCTTTTGAGCCTCTTTGCTACTGGCTGTGCTGTCAATAAGATTTCTTTGCCCACCTACAACTCCATCCACATCTGTGTTCGTCGTTGTGCTATTTGTATCAGGGTTCTGCAGGTATGAGTTTCTTTGCCCTGCGCACTCGATGAGATCCCAGAGGAGACCATCGCCCCTGTTGAAAATCCCATTGATCTCCCTTGAGAACATTGCTCTCAATTTATCGCAGGCAAGCTCCAGCCAGAATATCTCTCCGCCAATTCCATTAATGAAGAACCATTTCTCATCTCCTGTAATCATATCCTCTTCTTCAGCTGGACTTTTCTTTGTCCCGCTGCTGTTACTTACTACCACCCTATTGGCCGGCACCTCTGATTTTGTTGTTTTGTGAATCTTCTGGAGCCCTGAACCAAGGTCGCTCTGAAGTGTGGTTTCCTCACTCATGTGGATATCTGTGAATCTCACGGGCTTGTACAGGTTCTTCAGGATGTAGATAACCGATTTTGTCAATCTTTGAATTTGACATATTGCAGCATGTCGGTTCCTGTGCATAGAGAAGTCAAGTTCGTTGAATTCGGCATACAGCACATGCTCATTCTCCGAATCATACTTTCCATCGGTCATGTAGTAGCATTTTGAAGCCTCTGCGAGGTCCAGTACAAAATTCACTAGCTCAGCAGCCTGGTCTCTGACTAGAATCAGGGTCGTTGCATTGATCTCGTTCTTGAACACAGCCTCTCGTATGCTTGAGACACTTCCGACCGCTCCAAATACAGCGGCGAGGACAGACTTGGTAAGGGTTATGACAGTTTCCAGAAGTAAATTAGGGTTTATGAGGTCGGGAGAACGCTTGATGCGCTCGAGGATTGTTTCAATCAGTCTGCGTACAGACCGCTCATCTGCACCTTGGAATATATCCGCGGCGGAGCTGATGATACTCTCGAAAATTCCCATTATTGATAGTATAACTTGTGGACCAGTAGATCGAAGATGTAATAAGCTGAGATATCAAGTGATGGTGAAGGCAATAGGGGCTAAAAGCTGCACCCAATTGTCTGTCCTCCGAAATAACAAATAGTTTTGATTTCAAAAAGGGTGAAAGAATGAGTATCAGATATCACAGACCATAAGGCCTTTTGATCCAGACTGCTTTCATTGATAGGGAAAAGCACTCCGTCACGAAGCTTTAAATATATGCTTAATATATGTGATAACAGATCACATGTAAAGTTGAGATCCATAGGATTTCAAATAAAACAGAGATCTAGATGACATCAACGGGCCTAAAGAAAGTATGACTGAGAATATACATCATAAATGCGTCATGAGATTCGTATTCAAAAGGCTAGGTCTACAGATCATTCATTTGATCATCCAGTCAATGGATGTTTGAGTTTGAAACTTAAAGTAAACTTATGAGCAGGTGAGAATAATAAAATTGTCCTGCTTATTACTTACTGGGTTCCCGCTGTAATAAACCTCAATCGGTAATGATTTGAATGGTCCGAAGATGGTTCTGCGTCTAAAGAATTCGATATCACTTAATCCAAATACTGTTAAAGTTTGTACTGTACTTGAATCCAAACTCAAAACTACCAGAGTGACAAAGAAAGCTTCGTATTTTATGCTATGTTATTAGTCCCAACATGTCCATAGTCCTTTCACGGAGCATCTTGGTTACTACTATCTTTTCCTTGGTATGCCGCGACTCAGCCAATCTTTCAGATTGTGTCTCTGACCCTTGTGGTTAGCTGGTTTCAGCTTTCCAGCCAAGCAGGGTGAATAAATGAACAACCGATTACATATGACATGATCTGGATCACATGTCTGATTGCCCTTTCAATAGGAATTAGATTTGTTAAAACCATGGTATTGTTTACAAGATAGATGAAAGCGGAAGGACGGTGCAAAAGCTACCAACCCTAATTCTCAACTCTGTTAGAGAGGTTGTAGTTATGCTAACATAACCAGCAAGCAAGTTAGCTGTGAGAACCTAAAGACTACAAGAACTAATCATGTCTGAATGAAGCCTGTGTATTCACAAGGACTAATAAATGTAGAAAAAAAAGAAATACTATCTACTTCCTGGGAATTAAACTATTTTATATATTTTTAAAAATTAATTTTCTTTTAATAAGTTTTATTGTTTCTCCTCTTAATTCTTTATTAATTTCTTATTTATTTTTTATTTTTTTTTTATTTTTTAACTAGTTCCTGTCTTGCCTCTGGTAAGTTCTATATTTTAATTATTTTTTTAAAAATTATTATTAATAATTTTTCAAATTTAGAAGATTACATAATCTATATATAATAATAATATAATAAAATATAAAATAATTAAAATCTTATATATATATTTTTTTAAGCGCGACTATTCCTAGACATAAAATTTTAATATATTATTATATTATTATTATTATTTTCAAAAGAAGACATACTACTAACTATAAATTTTAATTATAATTTAAGTTAAACTAATAGCCCTGTATAGAAGAATATTTTTTATAAAAGATTTCAAATTTTATAAAAATATTTTTAAATTTTTTAATATTATTGTGATAAAATAATCTAGCTATCGGGGCCTTGGGCATCAGAATGATATATTACAGTAGATATAAGAGTTATAAGATTATTAATAGAGGTTCTATACCTTCCTGATATCTATAAGGTGCTGATTCCTTTATAATAAGTTACTAATCTTTAAGGATTAGTCTATCTTATAGATATAAATTATCTTTATTATTATTAGACTAATCTATTATATTTTATAATTAATTTCTTATCTAGTTAACAGACTTTCTATCCTGATAAATAGATTTTATTATATTCTAATTCTTCTTATTTTAATCACCTAAGGAAGATGCCACCTCTTAAAAATAATAAAAAAAAAATATTTGATTAGAGTAGTTATACCTGACCATTATACCTTAACCTAACCTTAACCGTAACCTGACAGTTAGATTAAGATATAAAAATTCTTTTAACTGTACAGTTAAGGATAGATTATAATTAAGAAATTACTTTAACTAACTTTAACTGCAGGTTAGGAAGGTCAGGTATACTTAAAAGATTAATAACTATAGATTAATTAGTAATTTATATAGTAATTTTATAAGAATAATATATTAGTAGTAATATATTTTTAATTATTATATTATTAAAATAAATATTAATTAAATTAATTATTAATTAATAATAATTAGATTTTCTAGCTAGTAACCAGTAGTCTAATAACTTTTATATTAAATTTTTATAAATAATACTAAAAATCTGAATATAATTAAATTAGACTATTAAAAAGAAATATATAAATTATTATTTAAATTATTTTTTACATTATTTTAATTAGTAGTTATAATAATAAAAAGATTATATAATTTAAGTATTTATTTATATCTGGATATATATAATATTACTAAACTAAAAAAAATTTAATTTTCTTTTTTTAATAATATTTTATTTCTAAAATTATTATTAAGATTGTCTAGATTCTTATTTTTATTAATATAAAAGATTATTATTAACTTATTATCTTTTTAATTCTTAGTTATAGATATAATAGAATCCAGAGAAAAATTATTAAAAATATTCTAATATTATTTAATAATAATAAAGTAATTAATATATATCTAGAGTATAAAAATTTTAATAATCTTAGAATATAAATAATTTTAATAATAATAATAAATATTTTAAAAACTATTAAAGAAATATTTAATATAAATATTATTAATTATAACAGTTAAGAAGTCTTTAATTATATAATAAAAAATAAAAAATTAATTATAACAAGATTTTTAATAAATGGAAATATTAGAATATCTAGTAATTTCTAGATAACTATTAATATAAGTATAACTTTAGAAATAATTAAATTAATATTCTAGTTTTTAATAATTTATATATCTTTAATATTAAGATAGATCTTAAATTTCTTAAATATTATTATAAAAGATAAAAGCTTCTAGTATTTTAAGATATTATAAAAAATTTTATCCAGACTTGAGAGTATGCTAGAGATTAAAAATAATATATTAATAATAAAATTTTATTAATAATAAAAATAAAAGATCTTTTTAAAGATAATTTAATATTTAAAATATTAATTACTCTTATTATCTAGCTAGATATCATTCTTGAATTTTTTAAATTTTAATATAAAGTTTAGAACTGTTATAATTATAGAAATATAATTTTTAATTTAATAAGTTTAATAATAATATTTATAAAGTTTTTAATATATATTTGTTACGGACTCCTGCTAGTCAACCTGCTAGTAAGGCGGACTTATTAGGCAGAAAGTATTAATAAAAACAATATTTAAATAATCAGAAACTCTTATTAAAAAAACTTCTGGATTACTTTTATAATATCCAGAATAATCTTATATTATATAATTATCTATTATTAAATCTATTATCAAGAATATACTCAGAATATACTGGAATCTTAAAGCTATAATTAAATTAACTACTAATCTATCTTAAATAATATATAATATAATATACAGAGAATAAAATATATAAGAATATTTATTTATATACTTAATTAATTCTATTCTTTATACTTAATCTATATTATCTTTAAGTAATTTATTTTTAAAAACTTAGTAATATAATACTTATCTATATTTACTTATAGATAATTATATAATATTATCTAATTTTATTTCTCTTTTCTTATTTAAGACTAGTTACTTTAAATAAATTATCAGCCTGATATTATTTTAATCTAGTTTAATAATATATATATCAGTAAAGTTAAGCTAACAGAAATAGAAAAATAATTCTAGAATTTAATATATTAAGTACTAGTCAGTATAAGTATTATTTATTATAATTATTTATTATATTAATTATTTTAAATTTATTATATACTCTGTAACAGAATATCAGTATCTAAAAAAAAAATAATAGCAAGATTTAATAATATAAAAATTAATAAATATAATTAATTAATTATAAAAAATATTATAGTCTTAGAGTAATAAAATTAGTTATTTAAAAATTATTTAATAATTAAATCTGTTAAAATCAGACTACTAAAATTATTTAATAATAATAAATTAAAGCTTAAAGCTTTTTTAACCTAGCTAAACTTATATTTTAATATAAATAAAGAAAAATTTAAAAATAAAATTAATAAAAATTTTTTTATATTTATTTATCTGACCGGGACAGTATTCAACTGGTTTAAATTATATATTTATAAATATTAAAAAAAACCAGTAAAGGATTAGAATAATAATATTAAAAAAATATTTATTAATTATATTAAATTTAAGAAATATCTTAAATAAATATTTAGAGATATTAATACAGTATATAATATTAAATAGAAATTATAATAATTTAAATAAATTAGATCAGTATTTAAGTACATCTCTGAGTTTCTGTAAATTATTAGTTATTTAGATTAGAATAAAGATATTTATATTATATAATTTAAAAAAGAACTTAAGATAAAGATCTAAAAAAAAATTATTTAATAAAAATAATTAAATATCTTATAACAAATAATTACAGTAATAATTAAAATTAATAATAAATTATATAAGTATAATATAAAACAGAAAAAAAACTAATAAACTAGTAGATCTATATTTTAATAAAATAATTAATAAAATTATTAAATTAATAATAAATAGTTAGTATAATCTAGAAGCCTAGAATATAAAAATCTTTATAAATTAAAATTAATAAAATTAAATATAATATAATATTAGACTTAATTAAACAGAGTCTCTAAGAAGAAATTTAAAAAATATAAAAAAAATTACTTATATTTTAATTATAATAAAATAAGTTATTAATCAAAGAATTACAGACAGAAATAATAATAGTCTTAAAAATAATTAAAAACTACTGATAAAAATCAGACTAGAGAAATTTATAATATTATTAATAAATAATTAAAAGTCTGGATAAAAATTAAATTATTAAATAATAAGAAGCTATAAATTATATAATAAA